GCAATATCCCCCAATGACATACTGTGAGGCCTAGTGACCGCAATGATGGGGCTCAGTTCCTCCCAATGTCACCAATAATGGGGCATTGGTTTATCGCGTTGGGACCTTTTATACTCTCTATTGCCACAGTCTGTCCCCCCTAAATTCTGAAGGACTGTAAACTAGCCCTTTTTTCAGAAAATTTTGAGACCCCTGGTCTATAGGAAGAACAGAAACAAGCAAACAAAACATTTTAGGCAAGCGCAGGATGACCCCTCATACAGCCATCTTGCCTCAGATTTTTTCTAGTGTACAAGGAGGATGAAGGTCATTTCACTGGGTGGTTTGTCTTGAATTGCAAAATCATTCCTTGGGCAGGTCTCATGATATGAATACTGTTGGACAGTGGTATGCAAAATTTTGCTGTGGCAAGCAGCATAGTTTAGGTCTTGACTAAAATGAAGCCTGGGATTCCACCCCTGTCTACTATGCTTTTTCCCAGAATGGTCTTTGGAGGACCATGCACTCAGGTGTGTTTCTGGTCCTGCTTTGCAGGTGGAGGATGTCAGAGGAAAGCTCCATGTTGCTCGGATTTGCATTTGCATGCCGAACAAGCTACTCTTTCTGATGCAGGGATCATCTGGCATTAGTAGGGTATGTTGAAATGACTGCAAGGGTTTTGCACACCCAGGTGTAGGTCCTTTCTACTTGTTTGCTTTACATACTCAAGAGGTAGGCCTTACTAGTGACTTCTTCAGGTCTGATTGAACTCCTTATTGCTCTCATGAACTTTGTTGCTTGTACTCTGATGCATTGTTAAATTTGGGAAGTCAGGAACATATCTAGTCCTGTGACTCCTGGATGCACCAGGTTTTCTGCTAGTTTTTCCCTCAGTTCTCCAACCAAGGGTGCTTCCTTGCTGATAGGTGGAGGTTGAGCTTTGGTCCTGTATCAGGTTGCATTCTTTCTTTCTGTCATACAGTTAGAAATTCCACTTTCTATTCCCTGCCTATCCTTGTATGGAAAATTCTTAGGTACCTTACCCTTTTTGGTTGCTGATTTCATCAGATTGGACTTAGTTTTCTGAGTAGGCTCTGGAACCACTATTACATTCCTGTGAGGTTTTTCTGACCTACTTTATCCTGAGAGTTTTCCTTGTATCTTGATTTTTATGGTTCTATGCAAGTTGATGTTTAGGGTATTCTTTGCTTAGAGAAAGTCTGGTCCTAATATTAACAGGAGATTGTTCTTTGTCCAGTCCTGGTTCTTCAAAGACCACTGTTTAATTTGTGAGTCTTTTGCTGTTGGGCAATTGTTTTTCATTCCTCCTTTCTGATTGGATCAGGTTAATCAGCTTCATGCTTCTGGGTTATGTTTTTGTGTTTCTCTTCCTTGCTGAGACATTACTCAACAGTTATGTGGCCATGCTTTTTGGTGTTCCTGTATCAGGCAAGTTCCCTATCCTTCTCTTCCTGATATCATGTTCCCTTTACCAGGTGGGGGTTTCACGTCATCTGGTGCCGGATCCAGGTGTTGGTCCTTTTTCAGCTGCAGATAATCTCCAGTTCTTGTATATGTTGGGGCCTGTTTGTGATTGATGTCGCTCTCCCTTCAGTTAGATTTTTTTTGGACAGCCTGACAGTTACTGACTTACAAATTAAATTACTTCCTGTGCCACTTAATGAATGAGAATAAAAGATTTTTGTGTATTCACTGTGAAATCCTATTCTTGAAGTCCTCTGAGGGATATTCGTCTGTGTTTATGGTCAGGCTCTTGGTACTACTCACTGCAAACTGAGGCATTCTAGTTGGAGGAGTGGTTTTTCTGGGTTTGCGGTCAATTTTTGTGTTTGCTGTTGTCTAATCTTAATGTATGTGGCGGTATAACCTGACAATGACTTCTGTTTCCCTCAGTGGGCTCCAAGATAAGGGTTTTACTGTGAGTACTAAAATCCTATTATTCCTATAAAGTGGTATTAACCCAAAACCAAAAATGTAACATATTGCAGCTTACCAATCCTTCGATGAAGTGGCTGCATTAGTTTTCTTTTTTTTAGGTATTTCTTTTGGTTTCACCTGGTGATCTGGCCAGTAACACACATCCAGCCTTAAAGTGATATTAAAGGCAATTTAAAAAAAATATCATACTTACCTGCTCTGTGGAACAGTTGTTCACAGAGCAGCCCCGATCCTCCTCCTCTTGGGTCCCCAGCTGGTGCTCCTGGCTCTTCCCACGTGCCGGGTGCCCCCAGAGCAAGCAGCTTGCTATGGGGGCACCCAAGCAAACTCGATCCCAAACCACTGCTCTGTGTGTTTATTCATACACAGAGTCGCAGCTTGGCCCTGCCCCCTCTGATTTTCTCAGTAACTATGATTGAAGAGGGAGAGTCCCCAGAGAGCCGAGCCTCTTGTGCATGTTGCTGGATTGCGGGTTCAGGTATGTATTAGGGGGACTGGGGGGGAAGTGCTGCACACAGAAAACACGGAAAAACCTTCCGCCTTTAAAAACCACTTTAAGGTGCCTACACTCTAGATGAAGAAACAACAGAAACACCTTTGAGCAGCAACATTGTTAATCTGTTGGGAGGGGAGTGTTAGATACACTAGTAGATTTAGATTTTCCAAGCCAAACTCCAGCTCACAGTTTTAAATCGGTTACAGCAACAGTTTTGTTCCTTTGTCCCTGTCATAGTTAAATAGTTTGTCTCATCCCTCTAAGACAGCTTGTTCTTTTGAAAAACAAATTTATTGGCTAGATAACCAGGTGGAAATAAAGCCAAAAAAAGAAAACAAATGCAGTTGTCACATAGAAGAATTGCTAAGCTGCAATATAATGTTTTTCTTTTGGGTTTAATACCACTTTAAATTATGTCCTTTACTTTAGGGGAGTTTGGTAGGTCTTGAGCACTGCAGACCAGGAACATCCCACTGGAGCTGCAATTTTGGAGTTGCTCTGACCCAGTCATCTAGCCATTATAATTTGGCCCTTGTAAGAGTCGCTCGGATCCTTACACTTGCAGCTTTTAACACATCTAATTTCAGGGACAACATGATTTGCTATCTAATATATCCCATTCACTTTCACATACCATTGTAACTAAATAATTAGTGTTATTCAGTTTACCTGTCAGTGGTCATAATGTTATGGCTGATTGGTATGTTTGTGTGTATATATATATACACACTACAGTGCCTTGAAAAAGTATTCATACCCCTTGAAATTTTCCACATTTTGTCATGTTACAACCAAAAACGTAAATGTATTTTATTGGGATTTTATGTGATCGACCAACACAAAGTGGCACATAATTTTGAAGTGGAAGGAAAATAAGTGGTTTTCAAAATTTTTTTAGAAATCTCTGAAAAGTGTGGCGTGCATTTGTATTCAGCCCCCTTGACTCTGATACCCCTAACTAAAATCTAGTGGAACCAATTGTCTTCAGAAGTCACCTAATTGGTAAATAGAGTCCAGCTGTGTGTAATTTAATCTCAGTATAAATACAGCTGTTCTGGGAAGCCCTCAGAGGTTTGTTAGAAAACATTAGTGAACAAACAGCATCATAAAGCCCAAGGAACACATCAGACAGGGCAGGGATAAAGCTGTGGAGAAGTTTAAAGCAGCTTTAGGTTATAAAAAAAATATCCACATATGGACATCTCAGGGTGCACTGTTCAATCCATCATCTGAAAATGGAAAGAGTATGGCACAACTGCAAACTTACCAACACATGGCTGTCTACCTAAACTGACAGGCCGGGCAATAAGAGCATTAATCATAGAAGCAACCAAGATGAGACCAAAATTAAACATTTTGGCATAAAAGCAAAATGCTATGTATGGCGGAAAACTAACACTGCACATGCCTGAACACACCATCCCCACCGCTAAACGTGGTGACAGCAGTTGATGGGAAGATGGATGGAGCCAAATACAGGGCAATCTTAGAAGAAAACCTGTTAAAGTCTGCAAAAGACTTGAAGCTGGGGCGAAGGTTAACCTTCCAGCAGAACAAGAACTCTAAACATACAGCCAGAGCTACAATGGAATGGTTTAGATAAAACATATTCATGTGTTAGAATGGCCCAGTCAAAGTCCAGACCTAAATCCAACTGAGAATTTGTGGCATGACTGAAAATTTCACAGTTCAAAATTTGACAGAGCTTGAGCTATTTTGCAAAGAAGAATGGGCAAAAATGTCACTCTCTAGAAGTGCAAAGCTGGTAGAGACATCCCCAAAAAGACTTGCAGCTGGAATTGCAACGAAAGGTGGTTCTACAAAGTATTGACTTGGGGGGCTGAATACAAATGCACCCCACACTTTTCACATATTTATTTGTAAAACATTTTGAAAACCATTTATCGTTTTCCTTCCACTTCACAATTATGTGACACTTTTTGTTGGTCTATCATATAAAATCCCAATAAAATACATTTACTTTTTTAGTTGTAACATAAGTGAAAAGGGAAAATTTCAAGGGGTAAGGATACTTTCAAGTTACTGTATGTGCGTGTATATAAAATTATGCATATCTATGTCACAGGCTCAGTATATTCATTCCTCTAGTTATTATTCTGACAATTATTTTGTTTAGGCAAATGGTAAAGGAAATATTACCACATTGACAGATGTAGTAAACCTAAGGCTTGTTGTGAACAAAGAATGTTATAATGTACATCTTTTCCACTTATACATAAAATATGTTACAGTACCTTTTGTTAAAGATACTCGGCATGCAAAATTAACATTTTGCATTTATACTCTTACTGCAGCCTCATCAAAGATGGCAGTTAGTTGTTTTGTAGGCTACCTGACTTTGCTGTTATTTATAAATGTGTCGAAAATATATGTTTTATTTGAACTTTATAGCCACAGTCAGATATAATTATTAATTCTTAGTACATGTGGCATGCAAACAATTAACAATTGTTAATAATTGCTGTTGTGATTAATTCACGTCTTCTGTCACTTTTATTGTCAGGCTATTCCTATGAAAGCAGCAAATGACAGTCTGGATGAGAATCTGACGGTTGATTACCATTTTGCAATGAATGGAAAATCTTTTTCAGTCATTCAGGAACACTTTCAGGACCTGCTTCCAAAGGTGTTGCACATGTAATATTCAAAGATTGGAGTCAAATGTGTGTGCAGTCTTCCTAATTGTTTTGTGTTTTCCTAGCTGGTGTTACATGGTACGGTGTTTGCCAGGATGGCCCCTGATCAGAAGACACAGTTGGTGGAGGAACTGCAGAACGTTGAGTAAGTGCTGCAACTTTTTACTGTCAACTTATGTCATTGCTCATTCCCTGGAGAGATGAAAAACTTGCATGGACTAATGCATTCAGGTGTATATAAATAAGAGCCAGGTGGTTTTTTATTATATTGTATGACCTGAAACCCATATATGAAATTTCCTCTGGCAGGTAATAGTTGGATTTGTTTAGGATTGTTATATTAATATATATAATATATGCAAAGTTTGTAAACCATTTTCAATTCATAATTTTACCAGTGTTAATAGTATTGTGTGGCAAAAAAATGCACTGGTCATCCTTTTATAAGAGCAGGAGTACACTTTGCCCATATATCCTGTTAATTCTGAGGGACGGTAGGTTATATATAGGTGGAATTGAACAATAGAATTACATACAGTGATGAACAATACAAGCAAAGTAAGCAAAACGTTCATATCACCTAGACATCTGAATGCAAGAAAGCATACTATATACATTTTACTATATTTCTTGTGGCAAAAAGAATAATTGGCACTGGAGGGGTGTTTAGTTATATTTAAAGTCTATATAACAGTCCATATGGGAGACCATGTGAAATTCAAGAGGTAGCACAAATTAGCAGCACCCTTAGAGCAAAGCTGAAACTCTGTAAGTAGAAGGAAGCAGAGGTGTGCCAGACTGAGTGCAACATTGATAGTAAATTTTATTTAAAACATACACTTGGCAACTCACTGCAGAGTAGACAGAGACAGGCATGTCAGTGTGATGTCCAGATCCCCTAAGGATGGTTGATAACAGGCAGTCTATGCGTAGCTGAGTGGGGAGCAAACAGAGCATCCCAATGCGGCCGACCGTCTCATTAACCAGCGTGGAACGCAAGATGGTGTCGGACCGGATGTGACATCAGCAAGGTCCTCTTCAGACCTGATTGGCCAGTGGAAATGGCCATCTTAAATAGATCGAGAAGGGGCGGGATTGAGGGAAGAAGTACGGGAATGAATGGTGTGACCATACTTAAAGGGGACACTGTTTGGTAAACTCAATAAATAACATATGCCTTAAATACAAGAAAAAATTTAATGAATTAATGAGCGTTAAGATAACATCAAATAAACAATAGCATGTGGATATTATCTGTACATGTGATATTAAATAACGAATTAAAAAATCTTAAGACAACAAAGCTAAAAACTTTTCTGCATTGAATGAATAAGTACATGGAATAAATTAAATAAATAAATTAAAAAGAGTGTATAATTTTAAATATACAGAGACATATGGTTATGTGGGATCTCATTACATGATTGACATAGGCATGTGAAAATTAATATATATATTTTACCCAAAGTATATGAGATGAAACGCATAAATACATGTGCGTGTATTAACACACAAATATATAAAATGAGTTCCCTTATAAAAACTTTACTTACCCACCCAGATGGAATGAAGGTGGGGAAATATGGTGTCTCAGAACCTAAAATATGTGAGGCAATGATAAGTAAAGGGGCAACATTACAAGATATATATATATATATATATATATATATATATATATATATATATATACGTGCACGTATGAGCGTGTATAGTGCACATATGTACTGGAATCAAAAATTAATGGAAAAGTTAGACCACAGGTTGGGGCTCTTTTTTTAGGGGACTAAATAATCGTGTGGATCTCGATCTCTTCATTGAGACCTTTAGGGGCCAAATTATGCAAGGTGAAGATTCAATATGTTTCCTGTCGGCAGAGCTGTTTGAAACGCTCAGCCTGGGTGAGACAATCGGGTATGGACTCAATTACCCAAACATGCAGGTCCTGGGATGATTTAGAGTGATAATATGAAAAGTGATGTGGTACACTGTGTTTGGTAATGCCCTCTTCCACCAGCCTACGATGTTCGTCGATCCTTTTCTGTAAGGTTCTAGTGGTAAGTCCTACATAAAGCATACCACAAGAGCAAGAAAGACAGTAAACTACGTATGTAGAGAAGCAGTTCCCTTACCTGTGCACATGTCCAACATGGCCAAAAATCCTTCACCACAAAAGGAAAAACATACCAAATTGGGGCCTTTTACAACTGCTGCTCTACATACATAGCTTACTATCTTTCTTGTCAAAGCCTTAGCCTTGCCTATGCGTTAGGGCTTCACTGGAAATAGCTGCAATGCATCTGGAGTGTACAAGCCCTTAACTCTTAACAGGTTCAGCAGGGACCAGCTGATATTCAAACTATCTATGGGCAGGCTGATTGTACCAAAGTCGATCCATCGATTGACTTGGTTTCAACCAGTATGTCAGATTTGTACATGCACTTATCGTCTGCGGCTATAGCAGCTAGCAATTATCGCTGTGTTCTCCCAGCAGGGATGGCTCCCTGCACCCCCCTGCCAGGAGAAACACAATAGCTCCGTGGGAGAGATTCTCTCATCAACACTGACTATTTTGATTTATGGTGGAATTAAGCGATTTTCTTTTCCTGCAACTACGTAAAATTACATCATCCATGGCTTGTCTTACTGTTCTTTTTTTAATTCAGTTTTCTAAATCTATGTTATGTTTGTAATATAATGATTAAGCTTTATATGGCCAGTAGGAGACCATATACATATACAGCTCTGACCAGCCATTTTCTGCCTTGTCTGCAGCAGTTCTCATCTGTATGATTATTAAAAACTATAGCTATTACTTGCTTGTTTTACAGTTACTATGTGGGCATGTGTGGAGATGGCGCAAATGACTGTGGAGTAAGTAAAAAGGTTTTTTTTTCTTTCTTGTCATGTGGTCGAGTTATTGAAGGATAACATGATTTCAGAAGGAGCCACATAATGTATTTCTGTACAGACTTAGGCTAACTCCACCTTTTTAGTTTGTTATATGTTGCAATCATATTTGGTTACACTGCAGCAGACAGACTTGTAGTTCTCAGTGGAACACAAATGCGGGGATTACTGTGTAACGATTATGCGCAATACAGACATGGAAGCTGTACGCGACAGCCATCTTGTTAAGGTCTCAGCCATGTTGTTTTTCAAGAACAATCAACTCTCTACTCTGCCCTATCGTAAAACAAAAACAATAACTCAGTCCGCTGTCACACGTTAAGCCATTAGGGCTCTAGGAATGCAGAGCGTGCCATAAAACGTATTTTCCACATGTAACCATTTCACATGTAGTTCATAGCATCCAACAGGAACTGGGCACATTAATATTAGGTATATATTTTGAGAGATCATTTCATGCCGAGCCAAACAGGGTCCTACATGACTATGTTAGCACATAGGAGAGAGGAGAAAGCGGTCTCTTCCCTCCTGGGTGACAAGGGTGCGGTGTGTTTGGTAACCCCGGGGTTTGAAATATACATCTGAATATTAATCTGCCAGTTGCTAGAATACCACCTGCACATATTGGAGGTTATTAATATTAGTATGAATTGTAGTTGTGACTTGGTCATAAACTTGGTGACCTCCTAGAACCCATCCCCAAACTGGATGATTGGTTAGTTGTTCTCAGACGACACCCCTTTAATATCCTATAAAAGGACTGACAGGCCTGGTGAAGGGGAGCTCTCATTTAATATCAATCAAGACGGACTTGAGAGCCAAGGCAACATTTTTGCTTGAACAATTGGACTCTGCTAAACCAGGGCTTTGCAAGTATTCTGCCTTCTTAACCTCTTTGTGCAGTGTGCAGCTGAGAGTGGCGTTGTTAAGCAATTGACAGCGCGGTGTGAGATTGGCTAGTCCTTAGTCATGAGTTAGTGAGAAGGGCAGGGGTCGGATGCCGCGTTCCGTCACATAATGCACTTGTAGTCAGTTAACACTCCCTCCAGTTAAGTACCTGAAAACCTGGACCTCTGTACAGACAAGGGGGTGGAGGAAGAATCTGTGCACTGCACCTGTGATCCACTGTAGCTGCAATGCTTTACAGAGTTATTTGCAAAAAAACAAAAAATACAAATTTTTTTGCTGTAAATCAGTATGCATTTTTTTTATTTGGCAGAAGGTGAAGTTTGCTTTTATTTGTGTATAGTCCTATATTCTCCCATAGTTTCCAGTACACTCAGATCATGTCAGAAGTCAAACTAACCAGTGTAGTGTCTGCCTTTTCAAATTTTTGTTAGCATCAGTTTTACTTTAATGTTTGTAACTTTGTCAAGTGATCCATGAGCAAATGTTTTCGTAACAGATTAGACCTTTCCATAGTAAAATTCACTAAAAGCTATTTTTCCATTACACTTGATTCATTTATATCTTAATTGTATAGTACAGGACACAGGCATAGTATTCATAAACTATGGGTTAAAAGCTTATACCTTGAGATGATTGGACACTGGCAAAGCTATTAAGGACATGCCCCTGGGGGCACCCTCCCCCACTCTGTGAGGCATTTGTTTTTTTTGCTAGTGTCCAAAAGTAATGGACCTCTTCTGTGAGAAATTGCTTCTAACTTTATTACTTTCTCTTCAGAATCTTCAGTCAGCTCCTCACTGTTTTCTATAGCTTCATTAACCGCGTATCCGGTTTAGTGCTATCTTGGTAAAACCTATTGAACCATGCCCCTGGACCCCCACCCTGTGGGAACAGCCTGTAATATTGCTTTGGGTACTGGATCCTGCATTGGTGCTCATCTTGCAACATGTTATAGTCAGCCACAGGGTGTTATACAGGTGCAGGGCTTTGGTCCATAACAATGGATCCTAGTCCCTGAAGACTCCTTTGGGGGTGTGCTCACCATGGTGGGCAAAGTCTGGACCCTTTATAAGGAGCAGTGGCATAGACAGCTAACCCAGATTTCATAACCAACATGTTTAGAATGTAGAGAATGTAGGTAGATGTGAGCGCCTAAGAAAATGAATAATCGCAATGCTATATAAATATGAGTAAAAAAGCAGCCAAGCACGAGGTGACCAAGTAAAAACCTACAATAAATATAACAAAATGATGTGCGGCGCTAAAAAAGTTAAATGAACATGAGGTAGTAATCAGATGTCAATTGCTGATAAAAGTTCACAAAGTGATTGAAGTGCTCATTAAGCATACGTCTTCTTGGACTTGGTGATATATAGAAATGCATATATAGAAATAATAAGCAATGCGCACTCACCAGAAGGCGCATGAGAATGCTCATGTGTGTTATTTATGATGTCATCAAAGGTCACTATGGGATGACAACAGGAATCCAAGGCCTTTCCTCTGTGGGCAGGCGGACTCTGAAGCGTGGATTCACCAGTATCCAGGTCTTCCAGAGCTCTCTAAAGGTGGGTGCAGTCGTCCAATGGTTAATGGAGGCTCCATCTCTGGCAGGACAGCTGTGGATCAAAAGCTCCTCAAAGGAGTCAGAGTAAAAGGATGCCCATAGTGTAGTAGTTTGGAAAAACAATTTATTGCACAAATCCAGGTAAACAGCAGGGCATATAAAACCAAATGGACTAACCGTCCAAAGTAAAAAGATGGCCACCAGTGCTCCTCGTTGCTCTGGCGGCGTGGCGTCAACGGCGTTATTGTCTCCTCAGTCTGACACTCCCCTCAGACGATGAGCGGGTGCACGAAACGCGTAAGTAGGAGACAGTAACGCTGTTGACGCCACACCATCTTTTTACTTCAGAGTCCGCCTGCCCACAGAGGAAAGGCCTCGGATTCCTGTTGTCATCCCATAGTGACCTTTGACGACATCATAAATAACACACGTGCATTCTCATGCGCCTTCTGGTGAGTGCGCATTGCTTTTTATTTCTATATATGCACTTTCACCGAGTCCAAGAAGATGTATGCTTAATGAGCACTTCAATCACTTTATGAACTTTTATCAGCAATTGACATCGGATTACTACCTCATGTTCATTTAACTTTTTTAGCGCCACACATCATTTTGTTATGTTTAGAATGTATTTCACATCTGTGTAATCTTTTCAAACTTGGTGCTAAAATCTAATCACTTGGAGCTAAGGCCTAGGTGAATGAGTATTGCATTACAGGTCATGAACTTTACCACCTTTGTGGCTACAACCTTGAAAAGGCACGTAGGCACACCCTCTGCCCTCTTTCCACATGGAAATTTGGTACAGGACGGTCTGCACCCTGTATAGTGCACCCTACTTTGTGAGTACCCCACAGGGAAAAAACACTCACCTGTAGCAATATAGTGAAATCCAAGAATAGAGAGGAGCAGCAAAAGCTAATCTAAACCGTCGCTTTGCTAGGGTCTCGCGTGACTCTGCAGCTCAGAGTGCCCAGTCTTCCCTATCACTTGAGCAGGAAAATCTCCTATCACCTGTCCCTGCATTCATAGCTGTTTACATATCATGCACACAGCAGGCAGCTTATTCGTCTGCAGAGGAATTTTCTGCATCCAATAGCACTATTCCTTAGCGGATTGCTTTAATACGGCCAGTTACTTCCGAAGATCTATTCTGTGATGCTCTTCCCCTTATCCACCACTCAGTGCTGCCTACTACAATGCCTAGCCATACAGAGGCAAGCAAGAAACCGGTTCAGGAGGACTGGGAGACCGTTTTATATAGGACCTTAGATAATATCTGTCTCCTAAGCCCAGATGCACAGGATACTATAGCCTCACACAGACAACCTGCTGATAAGAAATTGTTTAGCTCCACTATTCAAGAGGAACTCAGCGCTATTGGCCCCTTCCCATCTCATCATACCACTTTGTTTAATAGAGAGACATGCAATCTTAAATTGTTTCTCCTGTTCACATTCAAACAAAAGGAACAATCTATGAAGATTTGTTGCAATCCAGGAAAGATTTTTCTCCAAAAATCATCACAAAAACTCTATCCTATAGAAACAAGACTTTACTGTGAGATGGGGGAAACCGATAGTGGATCTAACCATCTTATATTTGAATACCTTTCTTGCTATTTCACCAAGAGGTATCCTTGCCTTTAAGGATCCTATACATAGAAAATTTGAATCCCTCTTTTTAGTCTGACAGGTCAATCCTTGCAGCCAGCAATTGCTGCTTCGTCGATCTTTGACATGGGACATGTGCAACCAATGCTATCCTGCTTTTCAGGATCTAACTTTATTGGAGCAGCTGCAGTGGTTACCTTCTCCTTTTTTCACTGTGTTGATGCTTAACCACTTGAGCTCCAGAGGATTTACCCCCCTTAATGACCAGGCCTCTTTTTGCTACTCGGCTCTGCACTAATTCAACTGATAATTGTGCGGTCATGCAATGCTGAACCCAAACGAAATTTACGTGCTTTTTTCACACAAATAGAGCTTTCTTTCGGTGTAATTTGATCACCTGTGCGCTTTTTATTTTTCACGCTATAAACAAAAAAAAGGCCAAAAATTTTGAAGAAAAACAATATTTTTTAATTTCAGCTATAAAAAATATATAGTAAACTTAAAGTTGGTTATAAATTTAGGCCTAAATGTATTGTGCTACATGTTTTTGGTTTTTGACAGCGCTATAGAAGTACCTGTAATAGAAGTAAAATAAATGCGTCAACTGAATCCAAAGCAAATTACATCAAATAATGAACATTAACATACAGTACTTTGCAGTAAGTGTCCTTAAATTCTCAAGACAATCCAAAATTTTTCACTCGTGAGTGCCCTAGAGTTAGGTTTCTGAATGTGAATGGCTTTTTTTTTTCCCCAGCTTACGACAATAGGTATTTGATAAAAACCCCGTGTTAAGCCTAGTACACACGATCAGAAAATCAGATGAAAAATACTGCTGTCGAAGCAGTCATATGACATTCTGACTGTTAGTATACATCTTTCATCCGAAAGGCCTCTTTTTGCTATTCGGCGCTACACTATTTCAGCTGATAATTGTGTGGTCATGCAATGCTGCACCCAAACAAAATTTACGTCCTTTTTTCACACAAATAGAGCTTTCTTTCGGTGGTATTTTATCACCTGTGCACGTTTTATTTTTCGCGCTATAAACAAACAAAGACTTAAAATTTTGAAAAAAACAATATTTTTTACTTTCGGCTACTAAAAATATATAGTAAACTCAGTCATAAATTTAGGCCAAAATGTATTCTGCTACATTTTTGGTAAAAAAAATCCCAATAAGTGTATATTGATTGCTTTGTGTGAAAGTTATAGCGTCTACAAACTATGGTATAAATACTGTAATTTACTCCATTTTTCCGCTATACTGCGCTCCGCTAGTTTAACGGACAATTGCGCGGGTCATTTAATACGGTACATAAATGAAATTTACATCCTTTTTTCCCCCACAAATTGAGCTTTCTTTCGGTGGTATTTGATTGCCTGTGCGGTTTTTATTTTTTGTGCAATAAAAAAAAAGGCTGAAAATTTTGAGGGAAAAAAAACAATATTTTGGACTATTTGCTATAAAACATGTCCAGTAAAAAAAAATGCAAAAATCTAATTTAGTCATAAATTTCTGCCAAAATGCATTCTGCGACATGTCTTTGCTAAAAAAAAAAAACCTAATACGTGTAAATTAATTGGTTTAAGTGAAAGTTATAGCGTTTACAAATGGCGGGAAATACTGGGATTTTTAGGGTTTTTTTATACTAATAATGGCGGCGATCAGCGAATTATGGCGGCGATCAGGGACTTATGGCAGCGACCAGCGACTTATGGCGGGACTGCGGCGGACATTCTGACATTGGGGGGTACTGACTTGGGGTCACTGACATCCCGAAAAACACTAATACAGTGATCAGTGCAAAAAAAAAACACTGACACTGTACTAATGGCAATGGGGAGGAAGGGGTTAACTTTATTTTGCAGGGAAGGGTTATAGGAGTGAGGGGAGTGTTTTACTAGGGGGTGGGGGTGTGTACTGGACGGGACAAGGCTGATCGAGAAAGAGAAACTGTTCTTTCTCGATCAGCTCATCCTCGAGCTGACAGGGAAGTGACAGACAGCACAGCTACTGCAGCCGATCGCCGGGAAACAGACGCTAAGGAATGGCTGTGACCCGGCGACTCACATCTGCGGCGGTGATCCGCAGGACAGATAGGGCGGGGGCACGCGCGCCCCCTATTTGTTTACAAAACACACGTTTTAAAACGTGGTTTTGCCTGCGAGTGCCGCCCTGCCACCATATATATACAGTGGCAGGGCGGCAAGTGGTTAACAAGTCAACACATGTCTCAATATGTATTATGAATTTCCTTTGAAATTTTTGGGGGAAATTAATTGCTTTATAAGGATTCATAATGATTTTCGATGTTGGCTCCTTTGTTTATATGTTTATATAATCATTTTATTTTTAATATACCTTTTATTCTTCATGATTTTCCCCTGATTTATATACTAATTATCTTCATAACAACATCAGATATTTTTATTTAGTGATTTACAGTGCCTTAAAAAGTATTCATACCCCTTGAAATTTTCCACATTTTGTCATGTTACAACCAAATAAAGGTGAATGTATTTTATTGGAATTTTATGTGATAGACCAACACAAAGTGGCACATAATTGTGAAGTGGAAGGGAAATGATAAATAGTTTTCAAAATTTTTTATTATGAAATATCTGAAAAGTATGCTGTGCATTTGTGGCAGCCCCCTTTACTCTGATACCCCTAACTAAAATCTAGTGGAACCAACTGCCTTCAGAAGTCACCTAATTCATAAGTAGTCCTCCTGTGTGTAATTTAATATCAGTGTAAATATAGCTGTTCTGTGAAGCTCTCAGAGGTTTGTTGGAGAACATTAGTGAACAAACTGCATCATGAAGGCCAAGGAACACACCAGACATGTCAGGGATAATGTTGTGGTGAAGTTTAAAGCAGGGTTAGGTTATAGAGAAATATCCCAAGCTTTGAACATCTCTTGGGACACTGTTCAATCCATCATCCGAAAATGGAGTATGGCACAACTACAAACCTACCAACATATGGCCGACCACCTAAACTGACAGGGCATGGGGAGCATTAATCAGAGAATCAGCCAAGATGCCCATGGTAACTCTGAAGGAGCTACAGAGATACACAGCTCAGGTGGGAGAATCTGTCCACAGGACAACTATTAGTAGTGCACTCCACAAATCTGGCCTTTATGAAAGAGTGGCAAGAAGAAAGCCATTGTTGAAAGAAAGCCATAAGAAGTCCTGTTTGCAAGAAGCAACGACTGTGTCCGTGCATCTGACATCAATGGGGCTGCTTGCACTGGGCACCCCTGTGCAGGTAAAAAAAACAGTCCTGCAGGTATAATGTATAGTATACCTTGTGTGAACAAGGCCTTATTCACAGCATACCATGAATGTAACTGTTTTAGGAAACTGATGAGTTCAGTTCTGCTTTAAGTTCAGTATTGGACTGAATTAATTTTGAGTTTTCCTACTGTTGGTGATTTCTTCACAGGCACTAAAAAGAGCCCATGGCGGTATCTCACTATCCGAGTTAGAAGCATCTGTAGCATCACCCTTCACATCCCGGACGTCCAGCATTGCATGTGTGCCAAACTTAATACGGTATAGTACAACTTTCCTATAAGCTTTTTTTTTTTTTCTTTTTATTAACAAAGGATCTATTTATGAGGTGTGCCATTTAAACAATACAGTTTCATAAAGCCTCAGGATACTCAAGTTACCCCTATTCTGCACTGTGTGAGCTGTGCCACCAGTCAGACTGTGGACAGCCCTTCTATTGTAAGGGAAGTTTGGTAATTTTGTTGTATTTACTAGCTTGCTTTGTTTGCTTTTACAGTAAACTGAATTTTATCTTTAGCTTATGTACTTTATTTAAGAGATTATAATTGTCATGCTATACCTGATGCTCTCTACTTTGTCTTGTAGGGAAGGGCGTGCAGCTTTAATCACTTCATTTTGTGTGTTCAAGTTTATGGCTCTGTACAGTATTATCCAGTATTTCTCTGTCACACTGCTCTACTCTGTGAGTATAGTCTGCCGATTAGTGACCCTACACAACCTTTTACTTATTGTACCATATTTGCTATATAACCATTTATTTGAGCTTTCTTCAACTGAATTAAAGCACTCTATCACTGTTTAACATTTTTTAACTTTCTACATTACTAATATAAAAAAAAAAACTTTTAAACATCATCTGCCTTCAGTAGCGGTAATTTTAGACCCATTTAAACACTTTTGTTTGTTTTATTATGTATTTTTGCAAATGCCAATATAGCACTTAAAACATGAAAATGTAGAATCCCACCCATGTCTTCATACATGATAAATATGCCATTAGGTACATATTTTTTATTCTATACTTTATATACATGCATAATTTCAAAATAGTTTTTTCTTTAAAGTTTTGTGAAGCCATTGCTTTAGCACTAAGTAGCTGCAGATCTTGAAAAGCAAATGTATTTTTGTCTTTTGCTTGTTTGTCTAGATCCTAAGCAATTTAGGTGACTTCCAGTTTCTCTTCATTGACCTGGCAATCATACTGGTTGTTGTGTTTACAAGTAAGTGTTCCCATTGTTCACATATTTTATGCCATTCATTCTCTTCTGTTTGGAAAAACCTGGGAGTGGTGTAATTCTGTTAGGGCAAACAAGAATACCATAGGAGTATTGAACCGCATCCAATCCGCAAGGCATGTGAAACTGGCGGTGCAGATTTAGTGCGATTTGAAAAAGTCATGAACATTTCCTGAGCAGTGCCGCCAGGTTCAAGTGCGGATTACAGATTAATTACTTCTATGGGAGCCGTTTCTTTTTTTTTTTTAATTTAAATATTTATTTATTTTCAATATAATATACACATTTCTTCATCAATTTCACATACAAAAAAAAAAACATTTTCCGAACCCTTAATTACTTTTCAACCCCTAATTTATTCCCTCTACCACCCCCGAACCCCCACCAAAAACCCACCCCGCCCCCTACAATGCCTCCATTTTCCCAATTAATAAACCCTCCCTCTCTGCATACTTCTAATGATTTTCCCCATATAAAACATACAAGAACTTCCTCCTTATCCTAAGATATTACTTCGTAGATCTTGCTACAAAATCTTCTCATTTTCTCCACTTCTTAAAAAATAACCCCATCTTGTCTACTTGCATGTAATATAATTTCTCCATCTTACATATCTGATTTGTTCTTTCTACCCAATCCTCCTCTCTCGGTATCTCTGGTCTATGCCAAAACCTAGGAATCAGACCTTTAGCCGCGTTCAAGTAATGCCATACACCAGAGTCTTTATATCTATTTACTGGTAGATCTGTACTATGCAATAGACACACCTCAGGGTTCAATCCTATTTTTATCCCAGTGATTATTGAAATTAATTGGACTATTTTCTCCCAGAAGGTTTGTATCATTGGGCACTCCCACCATAGATGATATAAGGTACCTATTCTTCCACATCCCCTCCAACACTCTAAAACCTTTTCCCCATTCATCTTGTGTTCCACGTTTGGTGCAATGTGCCATCTCGATAAACATTTATAATTTACCTCCACCTCTCTCATACTTATATTCTCGTGTATCAACCTATATATTTTCCCTTGTTTTTCCTCATCTATCTCTAGTTCCAAGTCTCTTTCCCAATTTGCTATATACAGTGGCTTTGTGTGTGTGACTAACTCGGTGAGAATCTTATATACCTTAGCTGTGCCCCGTTTCCCATCTCCACGTGCGTCTAGCAACCTCTCGAACGAGTTCCAATCCCTTCTCATTCTCAAAGGTTTCGGAAGATTTCTAACAAAAAGTTTTAATTGGTGATATCTCCATTCATCTATTTTAATAAAAAGTTCTCTTTTATCTGTTTTCAAGTCCTTAAGTGTTCTCAACTGCTGTCCATCCATTCTATCTCTCAGTTGAATATTCTCTTTTTTAAACCATTTTCCTATACTCTCTTCCCTACCTGGGGGAAAAAAATCTGTGTTCCTAAGTGATATTAATTGTGAATTGCAATCCCATTTCATATGTTTGTGCAAATTATCCCACACCTTAAAAACATTTACAGTGAAAACACTTGTGGAATCTTTTAAACCTCTATACTTTGCTGGGACCCATATATTTTTACTCAGGGTAGATCCGCTTAATTCATTTTCAATCTTAACCCACCTTTTCCCCTCTGGGTTGTGTGTCCAATCGTACATTCTCGCTAAGATTACAGCTCTATAGTACCTCTTTATGTCTGGCATTCCCAATCCTCCCTTCTCCTTATTTCTACTCAGTAGGTCGTATGATATTCTAGGTTTTTTATTTTTCCATATATATCTTGTTAGCATCTTTTTTATTACTTTAAAGAATACCTCCGGGATTTTAACTGGGACCATCTGAAATTTATATAAGATTTTAGGTACGATTACCATTTTTATCAGATTTATACGCCCTATCCAAGACGGGTTACCTCTTCCCAATTTCCTTAATTCCTCCTTGATCTCATTTAAGAGGGGAATATAGTTTAACTTATATAAGTTCGTATGAGAAGCAGATAATTTAACCCCTAAATACTTTATCTCTCTATTTTTCCATATAAAAGGGAATTCTTTTTGTATTTTTTCTTTTTCGCTACTTGGGAGATTAACATTTAAAATCTCAGTTTTTGATGGATTAATTTTCAGGTTTGCTAGCTCCCCATATTCATTTAAGCTCTTCATTAAGTTGGGAAGTGTTATCCTCGGATTTCCCACATAAAACAACAGGTCGTCAGCGAAAGCTGCCACTTTATGTTCTTCACCTCCTATCTTTACCCCTGTTATATCTATATTCTTCCTAATTGTTGCCAGCAAAGGTTCCAGCGACAGTACATACAGCAATGGGGACAGTGGACATCCCTGTCTAGTTCCATTTGACATTCCTATAGTATCTGACTTCTCCCCATTAACCACTATAACCGCGGAAGGTTCTCTGTACAGCTTTCCTATCCACTCTCTCATTCTTGCTCCCACTCCTAAAGTCTCTAGGGTATCCATCATAAAGCTCCAGTTTACTCTATCAAATGCTTTTTCAGCATCAATCGAAAGCACCACTACCGGCGTTTTCCCCTTCTTGGCCTTCTGGATAAGCAACAGAGATCTTAAACCGTTGTCTCTGCCCTCTCTTCCTGGCACAAATCCCACCTGATCTGCCTGGATCCAATCTGGCATTAGATCTTTTAATCTATTTGCTAAGACCTTTGCATATAACTTTGTGTCGATGTTCAGAAGTGATATTGGTCTATAACTGGAGCATTGAGAAGCATCCTTCCCCTCCTTTTGGATTAATACCACATGGGCCTGTAAAGATTCCCGCCTCATCTCCATCTCTCCTCCCAGGGCATTCATATATTCCTCCATTTTTGGTAGTAACAAGTCACTATATTTTTTATAGTACCTCACTGTATATCCATCTGGGCCTGGGCTTTTCCCCTTTGTGGTACTTTTTAATGCACTTTTTATTTCTTCCTGCGTTATTTCCATATCTAGGGAATTCAATAGATCCTCACTTAACTTCGGTAATCCTGCGTTTTTAAGATACACTCTTCTTTTTTCTACTACTCTCTTTACCACCTGTATTGACTAGGTCTTGAGTGGCAATATTATACAACTTACTATAGTATTCTTTGAACACCCTAGTGATCTCTTTGGTAGAATAAACCATTTCTCCTTTGGGATTTCTTATTTTTTCTACATAATTCCTGTTTTTCTTTTTCCTCAAAGCTCTCATCAAAATATCTACCTGGTCTATCTGCCCATCTATATCTCTCACTAGCAACTTTATTAAAGATTCTTCTCTTCTCCTCCTCCAACAATAGCCTCGTTCAACTTCCATCCTGTCCCTCCTGACCAACATCTCCCCCACCTCAGTTTCAATGTAACCGGAGCATGATCAGAGATAGAAATCTCTTCAATTTCTATTTTGTCCACCCTATCTATGAGTTGGTGGTCAACTAATATGTAGTCCAGTCTGGAATACATCCCGTGGGCATTAGAAAAGTATGTGTAATCTCTCTCTTTTCCATGTGTCACCCTCCAAATATCCACCAATTGACACTCATGCAACACGCCCTTCAGGGTTTTCAAAGCTCTACCTCCCTCTCTCTGCACAGATGATGTCGTGTCCATTTGTGGGTCCATGCAAAAATTTAAATCCCCCGCCACTATCAGAAGACCCTCCTTAAATGCCATCAATTTTCTCAAAACTCCCTTCAGGTATACCTCCGGTCTCTTATTTGGGCAATAGATATTCACAATTGTACATTTCTGTTCTTGTAATCTACCCTTCAAAAATAGAAATCTCCCCTCCGGGTCTGTTTCTCTATCTTCAATCTCCCACCTTATATTCTTTGCAAACCCTATTGCTACACCCTTAGCTCTTTTAATTGGGGAATCAGCACAGAACCATGTTGGATAATTTCTTGAGTACAACTTTACGTTTGATTTAATCTCTAAGTGAGTCTCCTGCAAAAAAACCACTAAAGCCTCTCTATGCTGCAACTCCTTGAAAACTTTAAACCTCTTCCCTGGGCAGTTCAAACCTTTTACATTATATGTTAAAAATCGCAAATTTTCCATCAGTCTTGTATCGATTTATTCTTATTCCCCACTCTAGCGTGCAGAGGCTTAACCCTAAAATCCCCCCTAACCCTCTTATCATGTTTCCCCCCCCCCCCACTCCCCCTGGTTACCCTCCCACTCTCACCCCTCCTACTTACTCCACCCCCCCCCCCCCCCCCCCCCCCCCTATTTAGGCCTTCAAGCTGCCTATCAATCATTTGTGGTAATAAACCCACCTTTGATTTTTATACCTGGGGATTGAACTCCTCCCATGTACGGCTCACCCCCCCTCCAACCACCACGGTTTCCCACGCTTGCTTTATTTCTTTATCCTTAGCGGTGCGAGTTAGAGAGAAAGTTAGGGAAAAAAAAAAAAAAAAAAATCACACTACCCCAACTAACTCCTCGCTACCCCTCCCCTACCTACTTCCTGCCATGCTTCTTTTCCCCCAATACCTATTTCTATCTCTGTTTCCCATCCACTGATCCTCGTTCTCTGCAATTCCAGTCTGTCACAGAGGTCTCTTAAGTCCTCAGGAAATCTCAAATATGCTGTAACACCGTTCTTCCAACCGATTAAACACTCTGGGTTACCCCATCTGTATTGCACATTCCTTAATCTCATCTGCTCTAATAGGGGCCTCAAAGCTCTTCTTCTCCACAAAGTCTCGTGCGATAAGTCCGCAAAAATCTGGAAATTTATATCTCCATATTGAATAGTTGTTCTTCCTTTAGTCCTTCTTCAAATCTCTTCCTTATCTCCATATTTTTGCAACTGAACAATCACATCTCTTGATTTTTCCTTCGCATTACCTTGTTGGAACTTTCCTGCTCTAAAAACTCCATCCAGTTTAATTTCCTCTGTTTCAGGTCTGTCCATGATGGAGTTTAACATTTTACAGACTATTTCTTGTAGTTCTCCCCCTTTCAGGATATCTGGGATTCCTCTTATCCTCAAGTTGCTTCTCCTGGACC